TGTGGACATGCATGTGATTATGGACATGCATGTGATTATGGACATGCATGTGATTATGGACATGCAAGTGAAATGGGGCAAATGATGGACTTTAAAGTCTCTATGTGTTTGATGTAAAGTTTTCCATGTCAGGCTGAACATCCAGCCTCAGTGCTGCTTGTAAACTCAGGCTCAACAGCACCTTTTCTTTCTGAAGCTCTGAGGAAGATCCACCTGTCCTCAGACATCTTGGTGAACTTTGACCGCTGCACCATTGAGAGCATCCTGACCAACTGCATCACAGTCTGGTACGGGAGCTGCTCTGCCTCAGACCGGAAGGTGCTGCAGAGGGTGGTGAAAGCAGCCCAACACATCATCGGAGCACCACTTCCTGCCATAGAGGACATCTACAGGAAGCGGTGTCTGAAAAGGGCTGGGAAAATCATCAGAGACTCCAGCCACACAGCACACAGACTCTTCACCCTCCTGTCCTCTGGGAGGTGCTACAGGAACCTTTGGACTAAGACCACCAGGTACCAGAACAGCTTCTTCCCCACAGCTGGCACACTCCTGAACTCTGCCTCCTGACATCTGAACAACAACGACGGTCTGTATTCTCACACACACAACAACAGCACATGGACTGTAACACCAGCACCTGCACTTTCATCCGTTAGCCCACTACTGTACAAACTGTACACATAATCTACTACCTACTGTTTATAAGTACTCACATACTTATATATGTTTTTTTTTTTATATAGTTTGTTTATACCCCTTCATATTTATAGCCTGTTCATAGTCTTTACACTCATAACCTGTATATATTTATACTATAGCATATTCAAAACAACTTACTGTATATTGGAATATATGTACTTTTTTTTTTTTGCTAAGCATTTCTGGATGAATGCAAACTGCATTTTGTTGCTTTGTACTCGACATGTGCAATGACAATAACGCTGAATTCTATTCTATGTAGCAAATATTATGTCCATTCTATGAATGGACATCAAGGTTTGATCAAACTTTTATTTTTGATTTCTTTACATGATGTTTGCTTTCTGATCTCTAAGAGACATTGTATTAACTATCTTTTACAACTTAGATTTTCCTCTGTGTGCCAACAGCAGAACTGACTTGAATCTGTTGAACTTTTAAGCAGTTTTGTAGTTTATGAGAGCAATGCAAAACGTATCTGACTCATTTTAACTACCCTAGAATAAAGTATTATTTACTACAAAAACATTGTCTGTCATTTTGCTTATTGGGTCCCTCTGTCAGTTTAGTTCAAGTTCAAGTAGGTTTATTGTCATTCCACCACATGTGGTACATGAAGTGGGACAAATTGTGTACACAGGTTCCCAGTTACATCCAACAATAGCAAAAACATAAAGTATAAATAAACTGTACATAAGGATCTAAGATATAAACTAAGCAATAATAATGTAAAACAATATGCCAAACAGCAGCACAAACATGAGTCTGTGTGAGCACAAATGAACACAGTAGCATGAAATAAATCAGCAGCATGAGATCAGCAGCATGAATAGTCAGCAGTCAGCACATAAAAACAATCAAGTGACATTACAGGGATTTTTTTCCACAGTGATTCTCCTGGTTATAGACTCATGAGTCTAACAGCCTCAGGGTAGAAGCTGTTCCTCAGTCTAGTGGTTCTACACTTAATGCTCCTCAACCTCCTTCCTCAGGGGAGTGGGGCAAAAAGTGTGTGTGCTGGGTGAGTGGGGTCCTTCTTGATGCAGGTGGCCCTCTTCCTGCATCTGGAGGTGTAGATGTCTGTGATGGTGGGGAGACTGACTCCAACATCTTCTGTGCAGCCTTCACCACTCTCTGCAAAGCTGCAGCCTGAGAGCGAAGTGCTCTTTTAGGAAAATATGGAGCAATAAGATCTGTAATATAAGATGGATCTAGGTTGTTGAGAGCTTTGTAGGTTAGAAGTAGGATTTTGAATTCAATTCTGGATTTGACAGGGAGCCAATGGAGAGAAGCTAAAACTGGAGAGATATGATCTCTCCCAGTAACTCCAGTTAAGACTCTGGCAGCAGCATTTTGGATCAACTGAAGACATTTTAAAGAAGTATTTGAACACCCAGATAATAAACCATTGCAATAGTCCAGTCTCGTATTCACATACTCTGAACATGACATCTTGTGATATTGCACGAGTTTTTGCAAAATTTTATTTTTAAGGTTTGTCTTTGTAGAGACTCTGTTATGACTGGAAATTTGGGTGGAGACCAGGCTTACAGGACCTGGAGGCAACAGACCCACACTCTCACGTGCAGACCCAAACATGCCAACATGCTGATTCAGCCCACATCTAATGGTATCCATATGCTCACATTTACTAAGAAAACAAACTGGAACACCTTCTCACACACACACTCTCACAGGATTCAATGTTCTTTATCGTCATTCACATCACATGTAGTCCATTAGGTGGAACAATGAAATTATGTACAAAGGGTCCCAGTTACTTCCAACAAAAATACAAATTGTAAAGAAAAACAGTAATAAGATCTAAGATATGAACTAAGAAATATGCTAAACTAAGAATACACTAATACTAAAAGTACAAAACAATGCGCCAAACAACAACAGCACAAACATGAGTCTGTGTGAGCAGATGAGTACAAATGAACACAGCAACTTGAAATAAATCAGCAGCAAATATCAACAACCACGTGGCATCAGTGATTTTCACAGTGATTCTCCTGGTTAGAGATTCATGAGTCTAACAGCCTCAGGGTAGAAGCTGTTCCTCAGTCTAGTGGTTCTACACTTAATGCTCCTCAACTTCCTTCCTGAGGGGAGCGGGGCAAAAAGTGTGTGTGCTGGGTGAGTGGGGTCCTTCATGATGCAGGTGGCTCTCTTCCTGCATCTGGAGGTGTAGATGTCTGTGATGGTGGGGAGACTGACTCCAACATCTTCTGTGCAGCCTTCACCACTCTCTGCAAAGCTTTTCTTTCTGCAGCTGTGCAGCCTCCATGCCACACGTTGATGCTGGAGCACAGGATGCTCTCCACTGCACACCTGTAGAAGGAGGTGAGGACTGAGCTTCCAGACCAGCTCGCCTCAGCCGTCTGAGGAAGTAGAGTCTCTGATGAGCTTTCTTCATCAGGCTGGTGGTGTTGCTCCAGCTGAGGTTGTTGTTCAGGTGCACACCCAAGTACTTGTAGCTGGAGACCACTTCCACCACAGATCCTCCTATGTTCGGGGGGGTGGGGGGGGGTTAGGTGTGTTTGTTCCTTCTGAAGTCCATGACGATCTCCTTCATCTTCTTCACATTGATGTGAAGGTTGTTCTTCTTGCACCAGCTCTCCAGGTGTTCCACCTCCTGCCTGTAGCTGGACTCATCGTTTGTGATGCATCCCACCACCACTGTATCATCTGCAACCTTTACAATGTGACAGCCTGGATGGGTAGCTGCACAATCATACGTGAGCAGAGTGAACAGGAGAGGGCTCAACACACATCCCTGAGGGGTGCCAGTGCTGAGGGTTATGGTGGAGGAGGATAAGTTGTGGATCCTCTCAGACTGTGGTCTGTTGGTTAAGAAGTCTAGGAACCAGTTGCAAATTGAGGGGCTTAGTCCTAGTGTGAGTAATTTGTCTATCAGGGTTTGGGGGATCATGGTGTTGAAGGCAGACATGAAGTCCGCAAAGAGCATATGGACGTAGGAGTCCTTCTGCTCCAGGTGGGTGAGAGCAGTTTGAACCACAGAGGAAATGGCATTCTCTGTTGATCAATTCTCGCGATATGCGTACTGGTGAGGGTCCTCGTTGATGTTGATGGTTGTTTTAATGTGGG